GAGAGAGAGGGGCTAGCAGGGGTAGGGGAAGAGCTAGAGCTGCAAGTCTCCCCCCCACAAACATAGACACATCCTCTTTCCTGGCAGCCATGAGTCTTCTGCTGCCAGTGGAACCAAGGAGGTGGGAGAAGTACCTTTTCCTGAAGATGCACCACCTCCTCTAACTCCAGAAATAGGCACCATATTCAGAATCCCTGTCTCCTCTACCCCAATTTCTTCTCCCAGTGTGAGCCTCCCACTGCCAGAGAAAGAGGTGGATCTGGAACCAGGGGACCTGAGAAACCTAGATAAAACAATTCTGGGAACCAAGGGGGAATCTGAGTTTGTTCTCCACACCCCTCAAAGTACCCCTAGACCCAGGTCTCCTTGTCAGGAAGGCACCTCAGAGGAGGTTGTGGAGGCAAGTGGCTCAGCTGAGTGAGCTCCTTGTGTTGTTGTGCCTCTTCCTGCTGAGGAGGGGGATAAGGCAGGATCTCCATCCTCACCTAGAAGTGGGAGAGTAGTGAATGTGCAATCACTTTGAGGTGGCAGATGATCCTAAGTGTGCTATCTGCCAGCACTGCTGAAAGCAGATCAGCCGGGGCAAGGAAGTGAAACACTTCACCACCATTGCGATGCTGCTGCATCTCAGGAGGTAGAATGCCCTTGCCCTTCTTCCTGATCAGCCTGGCACCAGTTGGAGAATGCCCAAAGGGAAATCCCTGCCTCACTCCAAAGCCCCCATACGCCCAAATCACAGGTAAGCCACCTTGGAGCAGTGGAGATAAGCTACAGACAAAGTGGGGTGAATTGCAAGAGTGAGTGAGATCACCCAGAGAACTGGGGAGATGCTTGCTCTGGATGGCCAGCCCTTCTCCATAGTTCAGTGGCCAGGGTTCAGGTGGCTCATGGCACTTGTGGCCCCATCCTATCAAGTGCCTACATGTACCACCTTTAGCAGGACAGTGGTGCCCTCCCTGTATAAGGCATTCAGGGAGTACTTGATGGAAGAGCTGTGCAAGGCAGGGTCACAAGTAGCCTTGCACTTCACCTCTGACATCTGGAGCAGCCAGGGTGGAGATCATGCCTCCCTCTCCCTAAAAGGGCACTGGTGTGATCAGTCAAGCCATCAGTGGGCTCTCCTCCAATCCGAGGTGCTGGATGAGTCCCACACGGCAAGGGAGATCATGGTGGCCATGAACCATGTGGTACAGGGGTGGCTTGTTGGGTGGGGTGAGCTCATCCATGGGTTCATGGTCACTGACAATGGGGCCAATATGGTCAAGGCTGTCCATGATGCCTACTTTGTTGGCATCCACTGTATGGCACACAAGCTTAACCTCATAGTCAGGGATGCGTTAGAGGGGGACAGGGATGTTGGTGATGGTGCCATCACTACCATCCAGATGATTTCAAAATGCAGAAAGGTGGTGGGCTACTACCGTTGCAGCATCAAGGGGGGCAAGATTCTATGGGGAAAACAGGCAGAGCTGAGCATTCTGCAGCACAAAATCATGCAGGATGTGGAGACTTGGTGGAACTCTACATACCTGATGCTAGAAAGGCTGGTGGAGCAACAGAAGGCCATCCATGAGATGGCCTGCTTGGGGAGATTGGGATCAGGGGCCCCCTTAACAGAGCTGAGTGGGATACCATCTCCCAAATCTTAGTGATCTTCAAGCCCTTCCTTGAGGCCACCAAGAGCCTCCGTGCTGGTGATGCCCTCCTTAGCCAGGTGACCCCCGCAGTAAGGGAACTTCAGAACCAAATGGAGAAGTCCCAGGGGATCAATGTTCCTGGGGCAAGCTGCTGTCACCAGACGTGCAAGCATTGGTGAGGCAGCTGAAAGAGGGCATCAGGAAATGGCTTGACCCCTTGTGGTCCAGTATGGTCCACATGCTGGTGGTATGTGCAAACTGAGGGTGAAGGGGCGCATGTGCACTGGCAGCACCCTCGATCACTGGATGCAGGTGCTGGTCAACAGAGTCAGGGAGGCAGAAGGGCAGAGGTGAGGGGATGTAGAAGAGGGGCATCCATTTTCCTGTGCCAGCACTCCCGGGACCAACACAGACAGTCACCTCCATGCCAGCTGCTGCCAAAGTCGGCCAAGTGTGTTGCTTCAGTGTTGGGGTCCAGATGTACATGACCCCAGCCTTGGGCAGGTAGCACCAAGGCTTTGGTGGCTACCTATCTTGCTGAGGACGTGGAGCCTCTGGACTGTGACCCCTTGGCCAACTGGGCAAGCCGAAGCCAAATGTGGCAGGATTTGGCCACAGTTGCCCGGGAACACCTGTCCTGTCCACCAACCAGTGTTCCAAGTGAGAGGGTGTTCAGCATTGCTGAGGATGTTGTGACACCCCACTGCACCTGCTTGGATCCTGGTTTGGTGGAGCAACTGATATGCTTGAAAGTAAACCTCTTGCTGCTAGGATTCCCTAACCTCCACCTGCAGATGGAGTGAGTGCCACCTTCCTCACTCCAGACACACCTATTTCTGTTTTCTTTTTTTAAACCCGTTAATGTCCCATTCTCAGAGCTGGAGGGGACACTCACTGCATCACCATCCAGCAGGGGAAGAACATATCCCTGCTGAGCTCCTGTGCCAGGATGAACTTGGAGGTATGGACTGGGACTATGGGGAAGGAGGAGACCCCAGGACCTGGGCATGACCACTAAAACTGCACTCTGCCATGGTCAGGGAGGCCTGGTGGGACTGCTGGTGATGCAGCAGCCCCACAAAGTGCCAGGACTGAGGATCCCCCTGGTTAAAGGCAGGTAAGAGGTGCCATAAGCTCAGGCTACTACACGCAAGCACACAGTCCTGGCTGGGGAAAGTCCAGACCCATCACGTCTTTGACAGGTCTGAGGCTTGCTGGCTGCAGTGGAGTTGTGAGGCTCCAAGTGAGCTGAACTTAGCTGCCTGGGATGACAGCTTTTGGGTTGAAAACCCCTTTGTCAGGCTGAAGAAGCACCTACAGTGTGCGTGTGCTGTTCTTGGATGGAAGGAATAGTAAAAAAAACAGGCTGGCATGCAATGCAGGCAGGAAAGCCAGTCAGTGAAAGTGAAAATGGAAGAGTCAGGGAGTGAGAGAGACAGGCTGAGATAGGAGATAAGGGGGATGTAGTAAGTGCAGGTAAAAGTGGAGAGGTACCTGGGGAGTCTGTCTGGCAGGCTGTCGTGTGTCAGAATTCCAATATCTATACTGAGTCCATGAGTTTCTGTACCTAGGAGGTTGATTAAGTGCAGTTGATAGGCTGTGAAAAGTGGTTTGTAAATACCCTTTCAGGATCAGGCCTGAGAGACTGAAGACAGTGGCTTTTTTGGTGAGCAATGTTCCCCCACAGGTAGTTGAGTATTCTTGTCATTGATAGATTCTGGTGTGCAGTTTGTGGAGGTACTGGAGATTGTTGGTAGGTTATTTGTTTTGAGCTGTAGGAAGTTGGCTTCTGGTGATAAAGTTAGGTTAGCAAGTTTTGGTGCTTGTTCAAATTTACAAACTACTTTTCACAGCCGGGCCCATGAACTTCACTTCTTCAGCCTCCTAGGTACAGAAACTCACAGACTCCATATAGACACTGGATTTATGACACACTAAAACCTGCTGGACATCTGACTCCCCAGGTACCTCTCTACTTTTACCTGAGATGCTACATCTCCCTCCCCCTTCCACCTCCTGATACCGCCATTTCCATTTTCACTAATTGGTTTTCTTGCCTGCATTGCATTCCCAGCCTCTGGTTTCTTTACTATTCCTTCCATCCAGGAATAGTACACACACCAACTGCAGGTGCTTCCTCAGCCTGACAAAGGGTTTTTCAACCCCAAAGCTTGCTAAGATATATTTCTCTAACTATTCAGTTGGTCTACTAAAAGATACCAGATTGACCCAAAGGACCTTGTCTGCCAGTGCCATGTCCTTAGACCAACACCCCTAGCACATGTCCTTGGTCAGCTGACCAGAAGGACACAGGGCCCTGGGCACATCTGAGTCCCAGGGCCGGGGCTGGCAGGGAGAGTTCTCTGGCAGCTGCTGGAGAAGAAATTCCTACAGGAAACAAAAGAAAGGCGCTGTGACAGTTTGGGTGCCTGAGATGCTGCTAGTGCTACTGTGCTGCTTGCTAAGTTATTACCTGTTGTTATTTAAAGTGGTAGGCTGAGCTGAGGCTGTAGGGGAGGAGGTAACCTCATTGGGGAACATTACCATGTCATGTAGAGGTTGCAGCACCAGCAAGGGCACGCCTTAGCACACAAAGGCACACGTCATGAGTTTTGCTTGTCAACAGCTTGAGGTACAGTTTCCCAGAAACCCCTGCACCTATCTTCTTAAAACTTGGCAGGCTTTGTGGCCTCAGCAGGGTCTATCATCCCTGAAATTTTTATCTGAATAAGCCAAAAAAATGATGAAGTTATAGGTATTTCAGTGATTCCCCATTATAGTCTATGGCCGAATCTCTGAATCTCTCCCAGTCTCCGCCATATCTTCTGAGGCCAATTCAGCCGAATCAATTCAGGATGGTGATCCAAATCTTGGAATTGAATCACTGTCCTCTGAATCGTCTGAATCTGAACTGAATACTTCCCTATTTGCACAGGTCTAGATGTGATAGCTTTCATTAGACCAACTAAATAGTTGGAGGGGTTGGGGTTAAGGTTGTGGGGGGAATGTTCTTCACAAAGTTTCTGGCACAAACGCTCTTCCTCAGTCATAGGGAGACTCTGTGCTGTGTGTTCTTCAAGATAAAAAAAGAAGCTAATTTACAACATGCAGGTGTGTGAAAATGCAAATGGAGTGAAAGTTTAGAAGATAATAAGTAAAAATGCAGGGGGGGGGGCGGCAACTGCCCACAGAAGCCAGCAGCAGCCAATCTCAGGGGGGAAGAGGGCACATGTGACCCCCTACGCCTCCCCTATGCGCTGCCTATGGTTTCAAGTCTTATGTGTGTTGGTGGACTATGTGAGTCTTAATGTGTAAAGGAAACGATGGAGCCAGAGTCTGCAAACAGGACATACTGCAGAAAGGTGCCTGTTTGTTCAGGTCAGCTGAACACCAAACATCAAGCCTAGGATCAAAGTTCAGGTTCCAAACTGTCACAGCAGCAGAACAGACAAAGGCTGCAGTGCTATGGAGGTGATAAAACTTATACCTGGGAACCCAGGGGAGATGTCTAGTGTCCAGTTTGACCAATTCATGGAACTTTTTGACATGTTCCAGAAAGAGATGCTAAAGGACTTTTGAGTGAGAAAATGAAAAAGGAGGAATACAGAAGAAGAGGAACTCATTAGCATTCTTAAGGAAGAGTAGAGAATCTACATATGGCATCTATTAAAAAAAATAAGTTTGGTGGAATACATGATCTCCAACCTCAAAAGGCCATTCTAGAAATAAATATACAGTTGCATTTTTTGTGGAAATCTGCAGTTTGGTAAAACTCAGCCAATTACCAGAAAATAGTTATGAATTTGAGCAACATCCATATAGCAATACTTGACTTACATTTGGAAGATCACAGAGTCCAAGGCTTATGTAATAATCCAGCCATGTTGAATAGTTTGTTTCCATTTTAGCTAGAATATGTTGCTTGGTGCATGAAGTCAGTAAAATGTTTTCCAAAGTGGCCTCTAGCTGAATTTTATCAGGATAAGATGGTCGGTTTCTCTGCGTTAGACCAAAAGAAATTATTTTGAATGCAGTAACTAAATGAAAAATTATAGTACCCTAAACTACCCATTGTTGTTTCCTTACACTTCTGAACTAAAAGATGCAGTATATAAACATGCATAGTCAGCTAATTTGCCTTAGGGTACTGGGGTATCAGTTCCATGACGCTCCAAGTTCCTCTTAGGTAAGAGTCAAGGTTGTTCTGAAACTTAAAGTTCTTTCACCCATTAGCATTTTAATTTATCAGACAGTCACTTGTTCTGCAGTCTATAGCATCACTACAACATCATTGCAAAAGCAAGGCAAGGCAAGGCAAAAGTGACACCAGTATTTCACCTTAGCTAATTTATTATCAGCTACTCAACTGAAATGTGAAAATAAGGCAGAGAGATCAATAGTGAGAACTTATAAAATTAAAACAATCTACTTCACAAAAGGACAGTTGCAGACGGTTCATTAACTCCAAGTTATTTAACTAAATTTTGAGAAATAAAATATCTGATCAGTGTACGTTCACAGTAGTTTGTTGTTACCTCGTAAGTCAGATTCTGTTCAACTTTTTTGCCATCCCAGTTCAGATCTAGATATTCATTAAATAAGACCGCTGCTTGCTGTATAGATCCACATGCCTGAAGGTGTCCTATCTGTAATACTTTCTGCAGCTGAAAGAGAGAAACATACAATATACTGTGCGCTACTTACATTTTATTTTTGAGAAATTAGTTTGCAATTACAGAATATACATTTTATAAACTGCTATAAAATAGCTATAGTGGTTTATACAAAGGAGCCGCTACTCCCAGGGTAGAAATGCATCCTATGGAAGAGAATATTCCCAAGGTTATTCTCCCAAGGTTGTCTTTTTAAGTCGTATTAGGAAACATAAATTGTGACCATCTGCAGAGCATAGGTGACTGGTAGGGGGTACATGGGGGTGCACATGCTCCTCCCCCCCCCCAAATGGGGGTAGGTG